CGTAAAAAAAAAAAAGAAAAAAAAACGCGAAATGTAAGAATGGATTCTATTTTCGTAAAAAAGAAACGGTAGTTACTGTTCATTACATTGTGTTATGCATTAAAGCGGAAAATTGTACGAGAGACGAACGAAGCCGTACGTGGTAATATCATGTTGCAGCAATTATTCTTGTAAAATCTAGAGTCGAAGCGGATCCGTGAATTATGGCCTGTTTACGGCCTAGGGAAAAGCATTACCCACAGTGTAATAAATGTCCGCCACTGAGAGACTCACTCGAGGTGCGTACACATGCCCGATGCGATTAACGTCAAGGATTTCATGTCGTTCCCAGCTCGACTTCTCGTTTCACGGACAAGCGAATAAAAATCCACCGCCAACTGATCCTCTCTATTCGTAACCGCGTTTTTGACCGGGGCATTCGTTACGTGTTCCGCGCGCTAGTATTCCCCGAATGGGAATGATTCTCCCCGGCGGGGAAAAATGAGACGAAGACAGAGAGAGAGTGGCAGGGACGAAAATAGGGAAAAGAGGTGGAGATCTGACGTATTTTCGTAAAATGATCACGTCGTTAAAATGTATCTATCTAGTAGCAACGGCAAAATGAAAAGCGGACGTTTGAAATATTCGACTGAGCCGCGAGCCTCGTCGAGTCACCTATAAAAATAAATTGCGCTCGCCCGACTCGGTCGAACTAGAAATTTTTCACCAAGGAAACACATCTGCCGACATTTGTATCCTTCGACGATACCTCGGCCTTACTCCACACGGCATAGACAAACCTTTGTAGGTCGGAAATAACCCCCCCCCCCCCTCCCCCCGCGAAGTGGGTCTCATCCCCGGGAGGACACCGACAGGAAAAGGCTAAGCGACGATATCTCCTTTCAAGGATCACGGAGTGAGGTTTGAAAGAGAGTCAGTGAGGAAAAGTGGAAGAAAGGAATTCCTTCGGTTTTGTCGAATGGCTCCTCTTCCCTTCTACCAATATTTTCGACCTTTTACCGTTTTTCGAACTCGCTGTCTTTTCCCGGTACTTCCGCCATATTTCTATCCCTCCCCATCTGCCTCTTCCCCCCTCTACTTCTTCCTAACCCCTCTACCCTCTCTAAATCGCAAAATACAAACGAAAATTTACTATGGAGAACCAAGAGAGAAACAGAGAAGCGTGCGGTTATTAAATCGGGACTCGACGGTGTAGCGTTTCATAAATTCGTTAGATAGTAACTTTACAACGATAATCTCGTTTGCTCGAAACAGGACTGGTTTACGGGGCTCCTTCTCCTGTCAGTTATATCTTCTGTCTTGCAAACTTTCTTTTCGTTTTTTGTTTCTCTTTTTTTTCAAAATCGTCTAAGCCACACGTAATATCGCTTGAAAATTGTTAAATATTGCGTGACTTACCTTTAAATACCAGATAGATAAAATGAAATGCCGAATCCCGAGGATATTTGAAGATGTATATTTGACGTAGATATTGTGTGGCAATCGCATCGTAACTGCTTCTTGTATCTCTTCAGCGATTAAATTTGACTTGCACGCCATAATATTACCGATTTTTGCCCTTTTTTACGCGAAAAACACGATATTTCGAACTTTCCACGCGCCAAAAACGAAACGCACCGACGCGACCGTTACACTACAGACTTGATCGCAGTCGCTCGATATATCGATTGCGAACTCGCGGTACTGTGGCGCCACCTACGTAATTCGATCGAGCGCCAATTTCGTTTGTATTTGAACGCTCAATTTTTTTACTAGAATCTTTATTGCAATTCAAATGTTATAAAACGATGGCTGAATTACAATTAGCATATACGATAAAGACTGAAAGCATATATGTAAATATGTAAAGCATACAAATATACATATATGTATTCATAGGTGTTATTAACAGGTACATATACGTATTTATACGTACAAATATGCCAACGTAAAAATATATACTTATTCTATATCCACGTTTGCAAATGTTTTCATTTTCAAACAAGTTACAGCAAAATATAATTCTTCACGTCTAAATATATAATATCCACTTTATTTAAACGTAGTTTTGCTGAATAAGAAATGGAAAAGACTTCATAGATTTAGATTGACACGAAATCATATCGTTTGAGATAGAAACGTATGTTCTGATTCCATTTATATGGATCACGATTCCATAAAAAAGAGGAAAATAGAAAAAGCATTTTGGGAGTTTGTCCGATATAGCACGGGCGTACAATCCGAGGAGGTGGAGCGCGAAGTTTTTCGCGATAAATGCTTGGTGAGTATTATCGGCTAAAAAAGCAGGAAGAAACAGAGTATTTTGCACGCATTCGCTTTATTCTGTCTCGCAATCTGGAAAATGGATAACATCGAAGACGAGTTTCCTGCCTGCGTTGTACAAGCCGTGCATCAGGCTAACGTTAGCTGGCCTTTCAGAAATCAATGCACCGCAATAACCGAACGATGCACTCGGCATGCCTCGTCGCATTGAGCTTCGGCATCAAAAAGCTATTACATACAATGAAAATAGATTTCAAAGGCTAGCAACCACGTTCAGGAGACAGACAGGAGGGGCAGAGGAAAGGCGGGACAGGAGGTGAAAAGAGACAGCGGTTTATGCATGGACAAAGCTATCGGCCAGATGAACCGGAAGAGAGTGTAATGTCCCGTGACATTTTGTTTCACGTGCATCAACACCATTAAATCCTATGGAGATCACGTACATTCTATAAAATCTCTTTATGTTCTACTGACGCTCTTCCCGGAAGGGAACCGTTCAAAGTCATTGCACGTGCAACGAGAGCAACAACGATCACGTTGAAAGTAAAAGTGTTCAAAGAGCTTCTTCGACTTTTGACTAATACCATGGTCATGTAACAAATGGCAGAAAATCTTCAAATTTGAAATACAATAATTGCCGTTTGTACATGAATACGTTTGTAACAGCGACGATCGAAGATTAAAGAGTGTAAAAATAAGATAAAGCTAATAGCGTCTCTATTGTTTCCGATGATTAATCTGTAGTACTATATAGATGTCGAAATTTGAAAATAAAGCATCAAAACCTTCTGTTTCTCTTTTCAGCAACCATAAATCAGGGACCGATTACATATGTAAATATACTCTTGCTCACCCTTCTCGCCTTCGTCGCAGCTGTGCTTTCCGGAAAATTCACCCTTGTGACATGTTTATGCGTGAATTTATACACGTGAAAAATAAACATTTGGAGTATAAATTACCGCTTTTTTAAATCTCTTCCCTTTACTCTATCTTACATTTAAAAATGAATTCTTTTTTTATAACAAATACATTTTTATCTTATTTCTTTTAACAATCACAAGAAATAGTAAATATAATCTATTTGAATTTTCTTTTACACGCATACATTTGGCGTAAACTGTCTATACGAATAGTCATACATAACAAAACGAATTTAATTTATGCATTTTGACCGTATGTATATTGCGACTGATGGAATCGCAAGAGCGATCATATTTATATGTAAATGCAGATAAGTACACATCGGAAAAACGGGAATTGATGCAGGCAGGCTTTTGAATTAAAACTTGCATTGCGATTATATACGCTAAGCATAAACCGATGACATTGTTAATTTCATTATAAATATTCACCGTCAATAAATCGCATGTCAATTTTTGAATTATATACCGCGAACCTATACTTCCATAATAATTGCGTTATATTTTTAGCTCCACACTTCCGTTTTGTTTGAACACATCAAATATTATTTTTCGTGGTCCTATAAGCGACAAATTGTTAGCTCGGGGGAAAAAAAAACGAATTTATAGGAAGAAGATACACTGTAACAGAAGCAACAACTACAACCGACCCATAGTTGTTCCGATTTTTTCACCGACAATGGAATTTCCTGGCTGATTGACGACTCGGTCGCCGATTCACAAAGCGATCACCCGTGAATTCCCCTGCTCCTTTATATCCTGCAATAACAACACAACTTGCAGATGCCAGAGGGACATAAGTACATACATATACACACGTAATACATAGAACAGAAGAGACGAATAAAGGATAAAAGTAATACAATTCAAAATATTCGGTCTTGGTTCAAGACCTTCCATGATCTCTTTCTACAATACTCATTTTTCGTTCATTATGTCCCATGAATCTTTTCACGATATCTAATGATATTTCCTCTAAGCAATTGTCCAAAATCTGCAGCAACGATCTGATTATAAATGTTTGTGCAAAAAATGTTGTCTCCTATCAACTCAAACTTTTTCTGTATCGCTAGATTTTATTCCTTCTTCATGCGATTTTGACACATTGTAGATCCTTTATCTCCCGCCACAATGAGACAAAAGAAAACATGAAATTGTGACTGAAATTAAAAATTATGTCAAAATAAAAAAAAAAAAAAAAACACCAACCAAGTAAATAATGTGATGAAATGAAATGCAACACATGCACTTTTTTACTGACTCTTCCCTCACCTGAACTATGTATATTCAGTATCTATGATGTTATTAATTAAGGAAGCGCGTAATTGAGTGCCCCATTATCGAAAACTAGAGTTGCGCTGTTAGTAGTTGGAGATTAATTATTATTAAAGCCCATGGATCCCTGGAGTATTCTTGGATGCTGATGATGGTGAATCTGTTTAGAATCCAAGATGTATAAATGCTATACATATTTTTTTTCGTGTGAAACATAAATATATTATTGACTACTAATCTTCGAAATAATTAGCATAATTCTACAAATTTATGGTAAATTAAAAGATTACTAAGGAAATAAAAAATATTCTATGAAATATTGCAATTACTGAAACCAAGATTTACAACTAAAACTCTTTAGCTAGAGTACTTTTAAAAAATGATGAATGAAAAATATGAGTTAAATCTGTTAGAGTGCATATAGTGATTAATGAAGTAATTAAACAAAAATATTATAAAATCAATTATGTTACAAACTACTTTTCCAATCCATGCTAAGGTAGGTATAGTATATATATATATATATATATGTATGTATGGATGTATGTATGCATATGTATGCCTAGGCATAAATATCACAATTGTGTAGTAATGGCACACAATATCGCAAGAAAGCAAGCATTGACCTATTTATTAGGAGTATGTGTACCATCTTCTAAACAAAATGCTGCAAAAATACGAATACAACGAGCAGATTTTGATTCATATCTTTCAATGGTACGTAAACTCAAAGCATTTTTGTGTTTAGTTTGAGGTTATGTTTTCATTTTACATTTCAGTACTTTACCAAATATGAATTTATTTATGCCACCGATCCTCAAAAACTTTGCAAAACAGGCGATACAGTTTTAATACAAAGTTTACCACAAAAATTAACCCGCCTTATTACTCACAAAGTATGTATATTACAAAAAATGTATGTGTCATATTTTATTAATATTGTTATAATTTCTTAATATAATTTCTGTTTTCAATTTGATTGCAGATTGTTGATGTCATTTATCCATTAGGTGATATTACAGATCCTATCACTGGTAAAAAGGTTGTCATGGGAAGATATAGGTATATTCTTTTTTTGTTACATCATCTAAGATAATTTATTTAAAATTACAACTTTATATTTAAATTAGGGAACATATTGAAGAAGATGCTAAACTTTTTGGAGATTTAAAATCTATGTATAAATATGATGAAGCACCAGAGAGAGGAATCACAGCAGGCAAACGAGATTTTACAGATAAGAAAACTTATATAAAATATAGTGATGATCCAAAAGATTATGACCCATATGCTGTGAACCCATAACTCATAAATAATTCACATATATGTTTAATGATTAATAAATAAAGATATATTGAAAAAGCTTAATAATATATATAAAATTAGATTATAATAACAAAAAAAATACATGTTTATTTTATTTAATATTACCTTTTAAGAAAAAAGTTTTTTAATAAAAATGAATTAATTTTATATATTCATTATTTACATAATTAATATACAATCATAATTTTTTAAAATTATGAAATAATTATTAAAATTACAATGTATTACAATTACAATGTTATTTATGCGTATATTTTAAATTCAATCAAATACAAAACGATTTTTTTGTATTTTAGCTTATTAAATTTATACATTATTTTAAATTTGTTACAAAATTGTTTCCAATTATTTGGATCAAAATTTTGCGAACGTGCTGTTTTAAAAATGGTTGATTGTTAAAATGTATCAATGCGAAACAAGCAACTTTTGTAATAACTCATTCAGAAAGAAATTCTCTTTCAAGCGCTGCTCCCATTTCGTTCCATTCTCGTTCATCTTCATTATCCATTATTTCCAAATCTTCAACTGAATCTTGTGAATTATCACCGAAATCTAAATCATCAGGTAAATTTTCGCCTCTTCTAAAACGCGTTACGGGATCATCATCGTCATCGTCTGGAGTATCATCATTCTCACTTGAAGTATCATCCGAACTATCATTAGAAAGCTTCTTTTTCTTTCTTATTGGTTCATTTGCATTACTGCCTATTAATAAAATATTACTAGATATTAATGAAAATATTACTCAATACACTCTATTAATAAAATAAAATATATAAATTACACGTACGATCACGTTTTGGTGAATCATCAGAATCAGAATCTCTGTGACGAGTTTTTTTATCATGTTCTTCATCATCATTTATGTCCTCTGTATCAAAGACAGGTGCATCTAATTCTTGATCATCCATATCTTCTTCAACTTCTTTATCCATAATTTCTATTTCTTCTGGTGTGAATGACATTAACGGATTAATACTATTAGCAAAACTATCTCCTATATTATTTTCTAATTCTTCTATACGTTCTGGACTACTACAATGTGGAGGTGGTATTCTAGAAGCACGTGCCTAAAAGTATACAATTATTAATACAAATATGACATTTTTGTATTTATCATTTTTTTATCATGTTTTTATCAAAGTGTCAAGTTCGTCATGTTTATAGTACCTATACCTTTGCAGTAAGTGGAAATAGACGCTCATCAACATGTTCCCAGCGTTCCGCGCAAGTCCAAAGCCAATCTGGATTTACAATTTTTATATTTGGATTTTTCTTTGCTGCATTAGCTTTTGCTGTGCCAGGTCTGATAGCAACTAAATGAGTAGTTTTATCTGACAAGTCCTAAAATACAATAAATCATTAAAATCATTAAAATACTGTGAATATTAATATATTACTGAAAAAATATTAATATATTACCTGTGCCACTTCTGCACCGAATGCTCTGGCAACTTTATAAGCTCGACTTTGATGAAGTTTTTGATGAGTAGGTATTAGTCCACTAAAAGTTAAGTATACTTCTTTTAAAACTTGAGCCCGTACTCGTGGAATAATATCTCTTAATGATTTCCGTCCACCTTCTTTTTCTATAGTGGCATAAAATTTAGTATGAATTCTACGAAGAATATCTTCAAGATATAATAAGTAATCGTCATCATCTTCATCTATAATATTATTTTCATCTGGATTTTTATTTGCGATTTTAATATCTTGTATTGATTCAGATAATGTTAAATTTTCGTTTCCTCTTTCTGATGCTTTATCTTCATGTTTGTTCTCATTATTAGAATCAAGATTTAGATTGTCATTATTCTTGATGTCATCTTTAGTATTTTCATTTTTTTCTACAAGTTCATGTTCACTTTCGTTATCTTTATCCTTAATTTCCTTTTCCGGATTATTATCAATTTTATTTCCTTCATTTAACAATTCTGATGCATCATTTTTATCTGATTCACTTGGATTTTCATCATTACAAACTTCATTTATATTTTGTAAGTCAGGCAAAACAGATATATCATTTTTTTCTAGCCCTGGTGGTGCATGTATATCACCAGTATGACGAAAAAAGTGATAAGGTTTAACTTGAACTAAATTCCCACATCCTTGCCATACATCTTCTCTATCATCTATAATGCATACTAAATCGTCTCCACAAGGAAATAAAGCCCTATAGCAAGTTATTTAATAAAATATGTATTTATTTATAATATATTTTAATATAATATGTAAAATATATTATAAATATATTATAAATTATAATCGTACTTAAGATTAGCTGTTTTTGATGCAGGATCAAAACATTCGTCCCTTGAAAGTATTCTATGAGAAAATAATGTTCCATCTATATCCAATAATGCTGCTACAGTATGTGCATAATTCCTTGCCCCAAATGTACATATATGTAATTCATATAAACGACTCATTTCAGAAAGAAAGTGTCTGGTATTAGGTCTCAAACGAGTGTGATACCATGGAGAATTTGGTCCATAAAGTTGATAATGATAAACATCCTGAAAGAAATATGTTAGTAACCTCACCATTATTGATATACGCTATATGTATATTTATACCTTCATATTAGGAGGAACATTATCATTTGTTGTATGAACAATTGTTTGATCAAGATCCACAAGTAATGCTAACTTGCGATCACTCAAAAGACGTTGTTCATCTTCCTTTCCAATCTTTTCAGCCAATTCTGGACATACTTTTAATTCTGGAACACTATGTACCATTGGTACACTAGCTTGTGATATTTTTGTACTTTCATTTTCTTTACCAATTCCCTCGACTCTTAAATCTACACCACATTCAGCACATAAATCTTTCATTACAGTAGGATGTTTACATCCTTCTAATATCATGATCACTTGCCTGTAACATTAATCATTAATACGTATTAAGATAAAAATATAAGAATAACATTAGTAAAAAGAAGCTATTTCTTTAAATGATGTCACTTTAATAGAATTTCATACATATTAAAATTTATTTGTAGAATAAATTATGCATTAAGAAATCTCATAAGGTTAAGAACAATGTGTACCCAGGTTGAATTATATCTCCTTCTTTTGCTAAAATTTTTGTAATACGACCAAATCGTGTGGCCCGATATTTCTTCTCAGGACCTTTACTATCTTCTGTTCCTGGAATAACATTCTGATACAAAAACAACACTCTACCCGCTGAAATCATAGTATCCATCCGGACTCTCCATTTCAATATTTTTCCTGGTTGTCCGCCAAACGGAAACGTTATCTCTATTGTACCCATAACTTTCTAGTAGCTAACATTCAGACGTTAAAATGTTATCTACAATTGAAAGAAATTAAATAATAAATATCATTAAACGCCTAACGTTTTTGCGCGGGAGATGACATAAATACACACTGATGTTCAATTTCTCAATACTACTGAAATTCACATACACATGTACTTTATTACATATGTAGAAAGATTAAAGGCTATTCTCATAATTAAGTAGCATATTTTTAATTTATATAAATAAGAATTTCTTACTCTTCTAATAGATTCATAACTATTATTAATAATTCGCGAAAAATTAATATAGAAAAGCAAATGCGTAATATGTATATTAATAAGTCATATAAACATTATGTTACATAACATCAAATACATAATTTTTCGTATTAAAAACGGTTCGTCATGGATTTAAAAATTTAATATCATATAGTATGTAGGAATAATATACCATAAAAATAGTTAAATATGTAGTTACTTTAATTGTAATATTTAATATAAAATTTCCCTAGTACAAGTACTTAATGCTATATACATTTTATAATGTTTCTGTACGATTTCGATTCAAAATTAAAACTTTCAGACAGTAGTATATAATTTTTAATTAAGATTTAATTCTAAATTTATTTTCTTATGAAATGGAGGATAATATGGAAAACATATTGCCAAGTACTAGTAGTATAATTCACACAATACCTCGAACAAGAACAAGGCAACAATTTAGTTTATGTGCTAGTTCTGCTCCAGAAGAAGAATTTGAAGCTTTTGACGCATTGGAAGGTATATTAGTTATAATTGTCATATTGATGTTTTGAAATTTCTAAATTTAAATTTAACAACATCTAATACCTATGTGTATGCTTCATATTTTATAGAATTATTACATAAAACTTGGACTATTTTTGGAGTTTCCACTTTATTTAATTTTTATCAAGATGAAGTATATTTGAAACAATATGCAAAACGATTAAGAGAAGAAATTGCAAAAAATTTATCACAAGAAGATGTTACATATGATACAAAATTCTGTGTTATGGAAAACATATCATTAAGACCTAGTCCACTAGATCCACCACCAATAAAGGTAAAGTGTCAACAAATAAAGTGTTTAAAAGAATGAGAAATATGTTATTAATTCAGAAAACTTAAATACTAAAATTATGATAGTTTTTGGTATAAAAATTGATATTCTATTTTGTAAAATAATATCATTAAAATGTATAATTTTTTATTCAAAATATATGTATGTACAAAATTGTAATCCCTTGTTATTGCAGATTGAAGTTTATTCTGAAAGTAACAATAATGAAACAAATTCAAAGAAATGTATTTATAAAGCAGTACTTTTATCATGGAGAACAACCAAAAGTAAATTAACTACTAATTCTATAAGATTACCTCTCTTATTATGTCGTGGCACAGTTGGTGCTATAAGAACTGTCCATAATGTGTTAAGTCATATGTTTGATTGCATGATTATTGCATTACCTGTACATGAGGATGATTTAATATGGCTTGTTCCAATTATAATTACTCCAATAAATAAAGAAAAACAAACAAAGAGCGCAGATGAAATTCGTATGGAATATAGAATACCAGAACTAAAAAATACGGATACAATTACAATCAAGTTTCTAATTTTGGATTTAATAAAAATATTAACATTGTATGTTCGTAAGTTTTTAAAAAACTGTAAATATATATTGTTAAATACTATTTTATATATATAATAAGAATATAGAAATAAACTATATTTTTTATATTTATATTAATTTTCCTTTAGAATTATAAAGGATCAAGATGATGAAACAAATCTTGAAATTGCTTTTAATCTAGAGCATATAGAAAAATTTCGTGAACTTTTATATTCTGAAATGTTAAAAGTTGCTGGTTTTGAATTAGGACTATGTACATTATACAAGATTCATCTTCCTACAATTACAATAATGGAAAACAGGGTAAATAAATTACATTATCCATATTGCTTAATGTTTAGAAATATATTTGTATCTTTTTTTTTCAGATGAAAGTAATGAACACAGATACTATGAATCGTATTCTGTTATATTTAAACGAAAAAGCCCTTGATACGTTTCACACATTAAATCTTGAAATTTAAATTTTGTAACATATTGGTAATGTTTATAACAGTCTTTCTGCAATATGTGTATTTATTTTGTTTTTAATGTAGTTTTCTAAGTTTTAAAACATCACAGATTGTGTAAAACATTATTGTTAAATTTCAAATACTATTGCCAATCAATTTGTATAACATAATGCAAATTATATTCGTAAAATATAGTACTATTAATATCTTTTATATTTTATTAATTGTAATTCACTTCTTTTTTTAAGAAGCTCGTTTATATAAATAAAAAGAAAAATTTTAGGAATTTTCATCTGCAATATCCATCTATGAACAAAAGTAAACAAATGATTTAATTCTTCAATTAATACTCACTTTAAAAGAACTTACTTGATTTTTTGATTCTTCCTTTCTTTTCTTAGTTCGACTGTTAAAGATATAATGTACAAAATCTATGTAACCATCAGGTTGTTCATCAAGTGGTGATGGCATGGAAACACCAAGTACTTCAGGTAACATAAAAGGTTTTAACCACGTTACAAGTGGTGTACGACCTTTAGTATATTGTCCATCTTTATGATAAAATAATAAACCATCTAAAGGATATAAATTGGAAAGATTTGCTAATGCTAAACTTATATCAGTATTACAACTGATATTTGGTAAAGATAACATAGGATAATTATTTCTATATGTATCTCTTGTGTGCAATTCTTCAATTTCTTGTAATTTTGTTCTTAACCAAAAGAACCTAAATTCAGTCTGAAAAAAATAATTAAAACTTATTATAATATGTATAAAACAGAATTGATATTACTACATTTGAGAATAAAAATTCTTACATCACAGTTTATTAAAGACTGATTGCACCACGCAAGTACATCTAATATATAATATATCTTTTGTTGTTTTATCCATAAACAATCAAGAATAGTACAATTACTTCTATGTTCAAATGAATTACCACCAGGAAGTGCTGAACAGAATTTACTCAAATTATTACCTCGTTTGTTATATGCTTTCGTTATGCCCTACAAAATACAAAAAATATAATAAAACATATTAATTTTATTACTTTTTTTTTCAACACACTTTACATGCTACTAATAAAGTTCTTTTTCCTTGTGGACATGGAACTATAATCCATTTTTCTAAAAGATCTTGAGGTACTTCCAACATCCATTCAGACATCATTAATTGATTTGCATAATTCTTATTACGTTTAAAGGAATGATATTTCTTCTTATCAGTTTCTTGAGTTTCCATCTCTTCCTCGCATTCATCTTCAGAATTAAATGCTTTCTCTAATATACCTCTTCCAACATTAAATGCAATATCTCGACATCTAATAATGTACATTATTATTTTATGTTCACAAAATTTTTTGTAAACTGTAATAATAAATATATTTATACAAGAAACTTACTTTTTTTGAAATTGCAGCAATCTCAGACGTCTGATTTCTTGAAAAGTGTCAATGTTATCTACATCCAAGTTGTAATTATCTTTTTTAATTGGTTTTTTATAAAATACAGCACGTGGATTACTATTTTCTTTTTCGTATGTATCTATTAAATTATCCTTCAACTCAGTTGCCATAACTGTATCAATTTACCATATGAAACTTAAATTACACAACAAAAAGATGTTATATATGGTATTATTAAAAAACTTTTACTTGATATAAAATTTTGGACAAAGCTGTCCAAATATATTTCTGTAGTAAATTCAAATAATTTAATAACAATGCAAATAATTTAATAATAATTTAAATAATTTAATAACAATTAATCTTGTACATTTTTGTTACAAAAATGCATATATACTAATTTGCAACGCATTTTTACACATGTGAATAACTTTCATTCACGTATTATGTCAATAGTTTTTCATGTATGTTCAAGCCTTTGTATTATGTATTATTATTGTATTATGTATTTCACGAATAGATTCTTCTGTACCTGATTGACATTGGTTAACAAACATACATAGTATAAACAAGAACTACTGTTACCAACATATATCGTCTTAAAGACATAATGTGGTTTTTGTAAGTTTACCACAAAACTAACCAAAAGGGAAAGTAACTCAATATATCTGTTTCTTCTAGTTTTATTTTTTGTACAGGAATGTTAATATAATATTTTGGTACAATTTATAAAACATTTTTATTAGAAACAAATAACTATACGATATCAATCAATGGTGCAAAGATGGTAGAAGTATCCCTATCCTCTACACTAATTAATCAAGAGGTAAATAATAAGTTTTCTCGCTTAGAATTTTAAAGGATTAACAACCTATTATAAGATATACAAATAGATATTTTTATGATTTAAATCGCTACGTTTTTAATTATATATAATAATGGATGATCAACAATTAAACAACTTGATTAAATGGTTAGATACATTTGATCTTGAAGCTCCTCATTCAACAGCAGAAGATATAAGTGATGGTGTTGCTTTAGCAGATGTCTTAGCTCAAATTGCTCCTGAATGGTTTACTGCTGCTTGGAGAGCAAAAATTAAAACTGATGTTAATTCTAACTGGCGATTGAAAGTTAGTAACCTTAAAAAAATTGTTGAGGCTATAATGGAATATTATATTGAATGCTTAAATCAACAGTTATCAGGTTATATTAAACCTGATGCAACTAAAATTGGTGAACACTGTGATAACCATGAACTACGCCGTTTATTACAGTTAATTCTTGGATGTGCAGTTAATTGCAATCAGAAGCAACAATATATAACAAAAATTATGGGAATGGAAGAAACTGTCCAACAAGCAATTATGCAGAGTATTCAAGAATTGGAAAGCAACATGCATGGACCAAGATTAAGTTTAGGTACTAGTCTTAATTTTGAATCTTTTGATGTAGCTGATGGTAATCAGCAAAGATTATTAGCAGAACTTCAAGCAACTGTTGATATGAAAGAGCAATTAGCGCAAAAATGTCATGAGCTTGATCAACAGCTTTCCCTTTTGCAAGAGGAGAAAGCAGCATTGGCAACAGAAAATAAAAAACTCCAAGAAAGATTAGATGAATTTGAAAATCCGGAAGAATCTGGTTCCATCTTAAAATATTCTAGTATTAGAAAACAAGTAGTAACATTGAAAGATGAATTATTTAAAGTAGAAACGTCTAGAGATGATTATAGATTAAAAGTAGAATTATTAGAAAAGGAAGTATTGGAACTACAATCCAGGCAAGAAGATTTACAAAAAGCAGCTGATGAAGCTAATCATCTGAAAGATGAAATAGATGCATTAAGAGAAACAGCAGATAAAGTATCAAAGTATGAACAAACAATAGAATCCTACAAAAAGAAAATGGAAGATTTGAGTGATTTGAGAAGACAAGTTAAGATATTAGAAGATAAGAATTTAGAATATCTGCAATCTAAAATAGATTATGAAGAAGAATCAAAACGGAATGTAATGCTACGTAATCATTTAGAAGTTTGTAAACAACAACTTGCTGAAGCACATCACAAATTGGATGAACAAACTAATAAATGTGATAAACTTGAATTTGAGGGGAAAAAAATGGAAGCAAAACTAAGTACTTTACAAAGAGAAAGAGATAGATTAATTGTAGAGAGAGATGCTTTAAAAGAAACTAATGAAGAATTGAAATGTACACAATTGCAAGCAGTAGAAAATATAGCAAAACCTAGTACTGACAGTACTGTTACAAATACAGAAATGATTCCTCTTGAAATTAAAGAAAAACTACTCTGTTTGCAACACGAAAATAAAATGCTGAAACTTAAACAAAAAGGAAATGAAGATAAATTACCTACAGTTCAAGCACTATTAGAAGATTCAGAGGAAAGATTAAATATACTTAGAGATAAAAATCGCAAAGCTAATCAAAGAATAATTGAATTGGAAAATAGATTGGAAGAAGCATTGGGAAGTCAGTCAAATGGAGACAATAAAACTGATACCAATTTAGGACAGAAGATAACACAATTGCAAGATGAGCTAGGAAAAGTACAAGCAGAAAGGGAACGTTTAATTTTACAAGTTGAAGAAAGAGAAAATGCGTTACAAGCTCAAAAACAGAAAGTTTTTGCATTACAAGAAAAATTGACGCGCCGGGAGTACGATAATGTTGCACTTGAGGAACGTTATAAAAAATATGTTGAAAAAGCAAAGAGCGTTATAAAAAGTTTAGATCCTAAGCAAAACAATTCGTCTCCTAATGAAGTAGCTGTTTTAAGGAATCAAATTTTAGAACAACGTAAAATTATGGAAGATATGGAACGTTCTTTAAAAGAATCTAAATTGATTAAAGAAATGGAAGAAAAATTAATGATATCTGCATTTCATCGTTTGGGTTTAACTTGTCATAGAGAAGCAATAGATCAACGACTTGCAGTTTTAAGTTCAGGTCCGGGACAATCATTTTTATCAAGACAAAGACAACCATCTGCTAGACGACATCCACCTTATAACTCTAAATAACAACTAACAAAAAACTATTTATATTCCCTAATTTTATTTTAATTAACGTTTATATGAAATTATATAAAGTTACAAGAGTTAAGATTTTATTAAATTTGACATTATAAAATTTTATTGTAGTATTAAATTTTATTTATTTAAACAATATATATTTTATTAGCTTTTTAATTATTAATAAAACATTTATTAAAAACAAATATTTATTTTACATTTATTTTACAAATATACAACAATATTAATATATATATATATAAAGTATAAATCATGGAACATGTGTTTATAAAGGAAATTCGTGAACTCAAAATGCAATAATATGTAACTTTGTATTTCAGAAAATTTATATGTATAATGTGCCTCGTCATATCTATGTGATACATTATATGTGTTTAGTAAATGTATACTTTATTATGTTTTCAGCAGTATTTGATTTTTAATATTTTAAAATATAAAAAGATTTTTATTAATTTATAAAGATAAATGTATTTAAGAACAGTGGAAAAAGTCAAAATTAAGCCAATACTGCAGCAGATTTGATATATAAGGTATTCAGGAAAATATCTTAATTACAAATTTTATAAATATATATATATATGTGAGTGAATGTGTGCGTGTTCTGTATATAGATACAATATAAATATATACAAAATTTGTAAAATAATAAAATATAAAAGAATAATATATAAGAGAATAAATTTATGTATATGCATAACATTCTATTTTTGTTTCATGTTTTTATCATTATGTACATCATATTCATTTTTTAAAAGAAACTACTCAGTATGAAAAAATATATATAATAGATTTTTTTTTTATATAAGAATAGAATATAGATAGACCTATAGATTTTCAATACTTATACATATTTGAATAATATTATAACATTTAAAAGGAAATGTATAAAAATATTTTTGAAATATATACATAAATGTAAATTTCTAGAAAGAATTATGTTTACATACAATTTTGGATAATTCAGTTTGGTTTAACACTTATAATTAATCTTAAGAAAACTTGTTGATACATATATTATTTAAATGTTTGACAAATATATTCTCTCAAGTGTTATTTGTCTTTTATGAAGTAATTTATCTATATATGTTGATTGTCTGCTATTCTGCATTATTTGTTTCACATTTTGTAATTTCATTACTTTTTGTATATCAGAGTAACATCTTTGGTAATAAAATATTGCGTTAAGAAGTTCCCACAAATTGAATTCTGGCCATAAGACGTTAGTAAAATAAATACATGTATTTGATATCTGAAATTTATTAAATATAAATTCAAAAAAGGAAAGGAAAACGAAAGACTTTTAAACTTACTTGCCACATGAGAAAATCACTAAATCTGACTTCTCCAGAAGTACGAATTAATAAATCTGGATTTGGTGAATAATTAGTATATAAACAGTTAAAAATCAAGTTTTCATCAATATCTTCAGAAAGAATATCTCCATTTTGAACACCTTCAATTACATCTTTAATAGCACGTGTAATTTCATCTCTCGCTAAAACATTAAATATGAAAAGAAATTTGAGAATTAGTAATATTTATATTATATATTATATTATATGATCAACTATAATGTTGATATTTTAATTTGTAATTATTTATAGTGTACAATGTATAATTTAATAAATTTTATTTTAACATACTTAATATACTTACATGTGTATGCAAATGCAATATTAAGAAATCCTTTATTATGTTCTTTAGTAAGAATCATAGTCTCTGCAATTAGTTCTTGTATATTTTGAGGTAGTAATGACAAATTACCTATTATACGGACACACAATCCATGTTTACGTATTTTGTCCCTATATTTAAATTTTTGTTATACAATATTATATGTATATAAATATTAAACAGATTACTTTATAGATATAATTATACATAAGATATCAACATACTTTTCATCTAATAATCTTTGAAACTTTTGTTCTGCAAGATTTAAAAGTCCATTTACTTCTTCTTGTTTTCTTTTAAAATTTTCAATACTAAATGCATAAAATGTTACTTCTTGTATGCCAAGATCTGTACACCATTGTAAAGTTTCAGCAAACTTATCAAATCTTGAAAATTATAATTTACATTACATGAAATATATAAAACTATAGGATATGAAAATTACATATACATACTTTTTTGTTAATACATACCCTTTAGTATGTCCTTCTATCTTTTCTATTCCAGTTTTACTTGCATAACGTCTATTACCATCCATTATAAATGCTACATGTTTAGGAATATGCCCAGTTCTTAAAATTCTTATAGCCAAACGTTGAAACCAATTTAAAGCATTATCTCTTATCCATGACATTGTTCCAAAGTTTTAAATATAATCTTTAAAGCACTAACCAAATCGTTTTATAACAGTAATATGGAAGATGTATTAAAAAGAGGTTTCTTTATACAAAATTTAATAAATACTACTCGAAATAGTGTTATATAATCTTAATATTTACATATAATGTAAATTAATTTAACATATTTAACCATTTTCTTTAAAATTTTTTATATATTATCAGCTGCCATAATATCGTATAATTTTAAATCATGTATATAACTAAATAAAAATTTGTATTAATTCTATAATATAATTGTAATTTTTAATAATAATAATGATAACTGATTTTACAACATGTTATGGTTTACGAAAAAATGTATTAAAATCATTATTCTATTGACACGTCGACATTTAACCGTATTAGAATTTTGAAACATATATTTATCATCTCTAAAAATTATAATGATTTATTATGTAATATTCTTTATTTTTATGAAAAAAATATCAATATAATAATTCATATTTATTAACAATTTTTTTGAGAACTATGAAAATTCGAAAAGTTACAGACGTGATGTCGCATACATATACATTGTATATGCAAGATGTATATACATATCGTTACACATCGATATTTCGAGTTTATTCGAGTTACCTAGCGTCCATCTTGAAGTTTTAGCTTTTGTGAAAAATGCACATTATGTTTTTATTCCACTTAAATATATGTAAGTATTTAAATATATATAATAATGTCAAATAATAATATTTTAATTAGTTTTAATGTTTCTTCACAAAAGATATAAACAGCATTCGATTTCTTAATGCATGAAAATTTCTGTTATGTATATCATATTACAAAATAAATGCAAATATTACTACAATATTAAAGCAATTATGCGAATAAAGTTGGAAAATTAACTTAACACATTAATATTTCATAGCAATATTATAGAGTCTAAATATAAAAAAAAAAACAGTCGAGGATTATATAAGGACATTAACTTTCTTTTATTAACAGCAGTTTTCATGATCGTTATTCATTATTTAACTCAATTCGCCGTAGAGTTACAAATGTTATGTTTTAAGTAAACATTTCTTTCTCTTCTTTTACCAACTTATAATTAATAATTATTAATTAATATTTATCAATATACAGTAATAATAATTAACGACAAGCTTCCTTTTTAACCTGCTTTAGTTGATACTAGTTTTAAATCAAGAGCCTGTGTATTTTTTCACGTTTGTTACAATTGCAGTTATCATCGCTGTATTTTTAATTTCAAATAAACCGCGTTACGTAGTGCAGATATCGTTCATAAATATGTTTTTTCGCAATAGAAGCTTTTAACATATTTAATTAAGAATGTATAGCAGTAATCTGAAAACTAGTTACCTGATTTTGTTTTTTGAATGAAATGTAAAAGAAAAGAAAAGATTGTTTCTTCTGGAGGGGTTCAAATCGAAATAAAATTATACAGGGTTTTGGGAAACAAGTTACATCCCTGGATAATACGGTACGTTGTGTCGACAATCGGGTTGGGGGGGAGGGGACTACTTTCCGTTGAGGAGGTGAGCGTGCGTGTGCGTCTCGCGGTCGAGACCTCGCAAGAGAAAATGAAATCTGAAATGGTTACTGCCGCGCTATGACCCTAAAAAGCAAATGTTTCTCTTTGTCCGTGAGTGAATAATAAACGATTGGTCAGGCGAAATGGAGGGCAGCGTGACGAGGAATGAGACTGCAATTGCACCAGGTAAAGAATGGGAGCGATAAGCGCCCTTACCATCCGCAACGAAGCGAGGCGTGCGAGTTCGTTCCTAAGCAGCGTTCTTTCTTACAGAGTTGTACTTCCTAATTGCGAAATTCTTAGCGGCGGGACCTTGCCGCGAAGCCGCAGACGTGAGTATTATTGACTAAAAATCTGTGAAATTTCGTTGTCCATATTATGACGAGAAATGTACGTTCTAGGTGTTGAAGCGTGAATTGGAGCGAGCTAAGGTAAGACGATTGGTCTGAGTTGACGTTTTGCCGGGGTGACACTATACATACCCATCGGCTCCACATGGTTTGCACGTGGTTTCTGCTTGTCAAAACATTAGAATTTCAAGGTCGGCGACCTTGATGTTCGACAAATTGGCACAATTTTATCTCGAGTATGATCGATCAGTCGATCGACTTTTTTTTAATGATTTTTTTTATTTTTTCGTAGGTTTTGCCGCAAAGACTAGATTGGGAAGCACATGTACATAATCAAACCTTTGAAGAGTTGGTAAGTAACATTAATATTTAAAGGTAAAATTTTATTTCCTGTATAAAGTTCGTTGTATATCATAGAGTAATTAAGTTATTTTATATAATAACATTATGATAAATTTGGTTTCGTTACGCTATAAGTTAATCGTCAAATGCCAATGTATGAAGTACCCCTAATAGGGTGCTACCCCTTTTCTGTCCCACTCCTAAACCCTTCTTCCTCCTCCACCGTTCTGATTCCATGTTGGTGTTGCACAAGATTCCCCCACCATATTACTTTCAACCAATAAGCGTTAACTTCCGGCCATCTTGCGCGCACTGATCAATGAATATATCTCATGCTCGGACCTTATTTATAGAACTTAGAATCGTGCGTGACGAGTGGGTTATTCAGATTGGTTGCCTTCGCTTATTTGTCTTCTGATTGGTTGCAAATAGGGACTACTTTAGATTACTTAAATTTCAATTATTAGCGCGAACCAATTTTATTGTAAAACATAATTTTCATTATTTTCTTCTTTGTGTACATTATTTCTTCTGTTAAATATAAATATTTAAAGATGTTATTAAACACGTGTGAAATAAAATGTAAAAGGAATCATAAATTTTAATGTTTTAGGAAAAAAAATATTCTCATATTGGATCAAATCATTTATTACAAATATGTGCCAGAATTGGACCAGTATTGGAAAAAGAGGTACCTCCATGTATACCAGGAGCAATATCTCTTCTAGGAGTTGGCAGACAATCTTTATTACGTACACACGAGGGTAAAGAAAAAACATACAATGTTTAAGTAATCATTGAAATTATTTGATGAACATCATAATTTTGTTGTAGATGTTCAACATCAAGTGCATGGCATTATTTCATATTCTGGCAGAGTAGGTGGAAAACCATTTTTGGATTCACCTTATAGTTTATTAGTGCCTAATATAGGTAAGTTGAATATTTATTTTTTACATAATATTTATTTTTTCATTTGTTACATAAATATTTTTAACGTTGATGATTTTTTCCAGTACATAAAGCACTTTATTGTTATACTATTTCTCTTTTATGTAGTACATGTACTTCAGGGAAGAGAGAATTCAGGACCTCTGAGTCGACGAGAGGCAATACCAACAAAGTTTTACAATAAAATGCAATTGTATAGGCACACATTAGGACATTTATCTGCAGTATATTGTGTTCTGTTTGATCGTACGGGGAAATATATAATAACTGGTGCAGATGATTTACTTGTTAAAGTATGGAGTTCTATTGATGGTCGATTATTAGCAACTTTTCGTGGAGCATCTGCTGAAATTATGGATATTGCAGTAAATTTTGATAATACTTTACTTGCTGTTGGTAGTCTTGATCGAATATTAAGAGTTTGGTGTTTTCAAACAATGTCCCCTGTAAGTTGACTACATATTTAATATTAATTAACGCTGTTGTATTAACTTTATTAAATTCATTTTCGTTATTTTTTATTAGGTTGCAGTTTTATCTGGACACTCTGGTATGATTACATCTGTAAATTTTTGTCCTATATCTTGTAATGGTGTATATTACTTAGTTTCTACAAGTACAGATGGATCTGTTGCTTTTTGGACTCACACGAAAAAAGGCAATGAAAGAGCAGTTTTTCAGTAAATTTCATTGATATTTATATTATATATGCGTAATGAATGTTATATGCATATTTTTAATGAATATAATGATTATTTTTATAGACCAAAACCAATTCAATACCACGAAAAAATGCGGCCTGGTCAGGCACAAATGATATGTGCTTCATTTAGTCCTGGTGGTGCATTTATGGCTGCTGGTTCAGCAGATCATCATGTTAGAGTGTATGCAATGTTAGGGGATGACGGTCCATGTAGAGTTTTAGAAGTGGAAGCACATTCTGATACAGTTGATAGTATTCAATGGGCACATAATGGTTTAAAATTTATTTCGGGTTCTAAAGATGGTACTGCAAATGTTTGGCATTTTGAACAACAACAATGGATATACAAGCGTTTGTTAATGACCACAAAACTTCCTGGGTAATTAAAGTATTGTGTATTTACAAAATGATCATTGAATACTTCTCTGTGTAATTGCAATAATTAAATTTTTTTTCTATAATTTCTAGAGAATCAGAAACAGAAGATGATTCTAATAAAAAAGCTAAAGTGACTATGGTTAGTTGGGATGTAAGCGATGAATGGGTTATTACAGCTGTAAATGATAGTTGTCTCAAAGTATGGAATGCAAAATCAGGTGAATTGGTGAAAATCCTACGTGGACATAAAGATGAAGTCTTTGTATTAGAATCTCATCCAATAGATCCTCGTGTCATACTAAGTGCTGGACACGATGGTCAACTTATAATTTGGGATGTTCTAAATACAGAACCAATAGCATGTTTTCAAAATTTTATTGAGGGACAAGGTAATGGTGCTGTTTTTGATGCAAAATGGTCTCCAGATGGAACAATGTTAGTAGCAACAGATTCTCATGGACATCTTTTAATATATGGATTTGGATCTGGTGTAGAGAAACTTAAAATAGTAAGTATTGTTGTTTTTACATAATAGTTACATTCTTTCTTTCTTTTTTTTAATTTTACATATTATATCCATAAACATTATTTAGAATGTATGTTCTTTATTTTATATTTATATAGGTACCCAAAGAATTATTTTTCCATACGGATTATAGACCTTTAATACGAGATGCAAATAATTATGTTTTGGATGAACAAACGCAAACTGCACCTCACTTAATGCCTCCACCATTTTTAGTGGATGTTGATGGAAATCCTTATCCACCAGCTTTACAAAGATTGGTTCCTGGTAGAGAAAATTGTAGAGGAGAACAATTAATACCAAATATTGCAGTAGGTGCTGGAGGTATATAAACTACTTTATTTATTATTGTTTTTCTTATATAGAATTTTATATTTTTTTAAAATTTTA